AAAAAAAAAAAAAAAAAAAAAAAAAAAAAAAAAAAAAAAAAGAGTCAAGTCACATTTTCTCCCCTCTCCTTCCCTAACACAGTCTTCCACCTTTGCTTCTCCTTAAAATCTTAAACCTATCTGGGTTGCATGGCAGCCCTTGCTGGAAGTGCGTCTGTTGTGAGGCAGGAGATAGGGCAGCCTGTGACAGCAATTCCACATGGTCATTTTGTTGTGCTAGTCTTGGGTTTACCAGTTATTTCCAAATGCTCAGGATTGTCCATATGGGCTTTAAGGGGTTGACAGCCTAGGGTCATTTTAGAGAGTTCCATGAGGGATGGGAGTGAGGAAGCCACTTGGCACAGTGCCAGGTGCAGGCACCTATAGGATCAGTTTTGTGATAAATCATTTTGGTAAATCACTTTCTTCTATGACTGCTATTGCGTGATGGATTTGAAACAGAGGATTCTAGCACAGAATTTAGAGACAAAAGCCCCAGGTTTGATTCTAGGCTCTGTCAACTACTAATCAAATGACCTTGGATGTGGCATTTCATATCTCAAGTCTCAGTTTTCTTATCTGAAAAATGGGCCCTCAGCAACATCTAACTTGAGAGTTATCAACTAACTGGTAAGGCTGCCATGACATCTGTAAGGATGTTTCATAAAATGGAATGTGCTCTAGAAAGTTGAGTCACCACTGTTAACTTCTCCTAAGAGTTGTGGCTGGGGCCTTTTTTTCCCATCCCTGTTTTACCCTGTATTTAACCAGACTTCTGGGTGAATTTTTTGACAAGGTGATTAGTCACTTAATTGCATTACATAATTAGTTCAGACTGATCCTGAAGAATTAGTGTGAAGTCTGAATTATATATATTTTTGGGTACTAATCATGCTTTTATTACTCTCAAGTACAGTTTCTTAAAATACAGTTACACAAGCAAATGGCAGTCATTGTTTTGCTGAATAGAGGTCCCAACAGTCTCCACTTTAGGCTTACAAAAAGTTCATTTACAATTAACATGTTAGATGTTAAAAAGGAAGCAAACACAGCTAAAGTGTTTGAAAATATTTTGGAGCTTCTGAGGTCTTATCCTGTTTACTAATTGGTATAACAATCTTTTTCTTAATAGTGGACAGGTAAACGTCAGCACAGCCTATTATAATTACAAATTAGAACAGTCTGGATTATTAGAGTTTACTGTTACTACGTATGCCAAAATCTGTCCTTATGGACGATTAATGACTAGGAGATGAACAGATAATATCACTTTTAAAAACTCTGTTTTCTTCATCATGGTTTTTCTAAGTCAGTGGCTATTGTCCTCATTAGAAGCCCAGTAAGTTAAATTGATTTTGTCTTTGTAAAGTGATATTTATTGCTTTTGCTTATTCTTCTGTGCTACAGGCTAATTTTATGCATCTTTTTACTATCTTAAAATCAACATGTACACACAGGTACCATTTGCAGATCTATTGACTGATATTAGACAGATATGTTATTTTAGACAGACCACACATTCTGTAATACAATGCACTTAAAGGGTCTGGGGCAAAGAAATTCTTGTTTCTTACTAGTAGCTATATGTTGGTCTCCATCACCCACCATACACGGCTTTCCATCTCCCCACCACTGGCTACTCCTTGAAGAGGTGGCTAATTCGCCACCCATGCAACACCCAACGTGGGAAAGCAGAAGGATCATCGGTCTTTTTCTGCTAGTCCCTGGGCAGGATTTCCAGTAGGTTTTCCTGTTCTGAGGACAGTATTACAGGTATAAAGGATGTGTCTTTTGAATAGGAAAGATGTCTGTAAACTGCATTAGATTTGAGCAAATACACCTTAAACAGAACTGTGTTGAGCAGTACCTTGTCTACTCAAGTGGTCTCTCCTCCCCAGGGCAAACACAGTATCATTGTTCTTATATAAATGCAATGGACTTGTGATGTTTAAACACAAGCAGAATAAAATTGTCTAAAAGATCCATCCTGTTAACCAGGTGGGTATACTCGTATAATTATAGAGAACGACCACAAATGCATGTCACTGGCTACAGCCATGTTCTGACCAGCACCTGTAACTGCTTATATGCAACTACCAAAGTGGTTAACGCAGCACATTGGTCTGAGCTACATGGCAAAGCCCTGGGCTGATTCTCAGCAGGATATGGGGACGACACAGTAACAGATCAGCTGACAATCAGGCTCTTTGTTTCAGGCAGTCACCTTTGGGTTCCCTGGCCTGTTGGGGAGCAGGGGATATTGTTGACAAGTGAGGGGTCCAGGTGACTAAATTTTAATGTTTAAAGAATCTAAAACATGACAGTTTCACTGTTTGGGGTGGAATACGCTGTAAAGCACGCAATACGTTTCTTTACTTGATACACAGGGTGTGCTGAGTAGGATTTGACTCTTCTTGATAACTCAGTCTTCCTACTGGGCTGTAAATACCACAGTCTCTTCCAAAGACCACTGAGGTGGGAAAGGTTTAACTGGCCTTATCCTGAGTGCCACCATCTGCTAGAAGGTTCTAGTATGCTCTGCTTCTTTCTTCTCTGACTTAATTTCTGATCTCCAGGGCTTATTGTCCTCTAATTTATGTCACCATTCCTAACTTCTGACATCTATCTAATCTGCATCTATCTGCCATCTTTTACCTATTTGTTCTACTACCCAACTTTTGAAGATTACAAAGGCTTTGAAATATGTAAGAAAATACTGATAATAGTAAAACAAATACCAGTGTATCAACTACCCAGAGTTAACAAATGTTTATTTTCTTTTTTCTACTTTTCTGTAAGTGTGTTCTTACTGTTTAATGTGATTATATTGGAAATTTATCTGAAAGTAATAGGAAGAAGTTATAGAAAAATTTAGAAATATCTCTTAATTCTAAAATTAGTTAAGTTTCCTTTGGGACAAACATACTTATTCTTGGAAGCTTTGTTTTTGGAGAATTATATCTCAGAATTAGATATCACATATAGACAGTCTAGTTTTATCACCTTGAAATTAATAATTCCAGTATTATAATATTTCAGAACAACTTAAGCACCAAATAAATGAATGAACAAGCATATAAAGCAGAAGGAAAAACTTTTTCTTATAGTATGCCAATTAACAAATTAAAAAGAAATAAAGGAATTAGAAAAATCATCATTTTCAACCATTATAGTAATAATGTCAGATAAGAATCATCAATTAATACAAAAATGAGTGGGTGAAAGTTTGATGAGGTACGGGTTAATAAAAGAGTTGCAGGGCCGGCCCAGTGGCGCACTGCTATAGTGCGCCGCTTGGGAGCGCGGCGGGGCTCCCGCCGAGGGTTCGGATCCCACATACAGACCGGTTCCCGCTCACTGGCTGAGCGAGGCGCGGGAGCAACACCGAGGGTTGCAATCCCGTTGCCGGTCCCCGGTCCGGTACGGGGGCAACACTGAGGTTTGTGATCCGTTGCCGGACACGGAAAAAGACAAAAGACCAAAAAAAAAAAAAAAGAGTTGCAAAGTGACTTTCCGCATATTATTTATTAATTACAAAAGGAAAAATAGTAACTTTGGGATGGATAAATTTGGAGGACGCCACCATAACCAAGAGACAAAGTCAACCTTGCCATTGAGGGGGAAACAGACATCAGGTTCCTCCTGATGTGACAGACTGAGGAGGCCACAAAGTCTCTCATGTTGCTCTTCCCAAAATGTATGACCTTAATCTAATCACGAGAAAACATCAAAGAAACCTAAATTGAGAGATTTCTTCCAAAAAAATCACAAAAAACGATCAGTCCTCCTTAAAACCGTCAAGGTCATGAAAGTCAAAGAAAGGCTGAGGAATGTTCCAGACTTAAGGAGATTAAAGAAACATGACAACAACATACAAAATGGGATCTTGCAGTGGAGTCTGTTCTAGAAGAAAATTGAAACAGGACATTTTGGGGACAATAGGCATAATTTGGACAGGAATTGCAGGTGAGATAATTGAAATGTATCAATGTTAAACTTCCTGGTTTTGTTAATTGTACAATTATGATATAAGAAAATGTCCCTGTTATTAGAAAGCACACACTGAAGTATTTAGGAGTGATCAATCATGATTTCGGTACCTGACTTTCATATGGTTTAGAAAAAATTATATATATATATATATATATAGTGTGTGTGTGTGTGTGTGTGTGTGTATTTGTGTGGTGAGAGATAGATAAATAGAACATGTGCACACACTAAAGATAAAGTAAATGTAAAATGTTAACAGTTGGTGAATCTGGGTGAAGGGTACAGACAACTAAGCTTGCAACTTTTTTTGAAGTATGAAATTATTGTAAAATCAAATATAAAATGATTCTGTGGTGCTCTTTTTCTTTTTACAATTCATTGAGCTTGGGTGGGGAACAAAGAGAAAGAAGATTCCATAAGAAGGAATTCAGGAAAAAATCCAAACTTAATTTATCCCATAACATTTATATAAAACATGCCAACATTTTTACATACCTGAACATAGAGATACTCGAAAGCAACTGGATCTCTCCTTAATAGGTCAATTGGATCCTTTGGGACAAAGCTAATTCTGAAAAGACACCTCATCTTATGGGAGCTGGGCCTCTGTGTCACCTAGAAGGGCAGACCAATCACACAAAAGTCCTTCAGTGCTGACTGAGAAATGGCTGAGGACACAGAAGCCAAGTCAACTTTCTTTGGACACTCAGGAAAGAAGCAGTCGAAGTTCTTTTAGTATTTATCATAGATACTCATTCCCTGAAAACTGCACAGAACCTCATGACACAGGTCGGGTTTCCCAGAAGCAGACCCTGAGGTTAGGGTTTGTGTAAAAGGGACTTACTAAGAACTGCTCCCCTGAGAGGCCAGTATGGGAGTGGGGGAGCAGGTCATGGAGGGGGAGGAAGACAAGCAAGGGTGCCATCTCAGCTAAGCCCAGCAGAAGGGAGTGACAGCTGATGCTGCAGGTCACTGTGGGGTGAGAGTTACAGCACACACTGCTGAGACCTGAGCCAGAGGAGCTCTGAGGAGTTATTGGTCCAGGGCTATCCTAAAGGGACATGGGCTCCAGCAGTCTGAGGGCAGTTTTCAGGAGAACTGCAGAACGCTGGCTGTTGTCAGTGATAGCACACTGAATCTTGGGTGGGGAGTACAAAAGGGGACCCAAAGGGATCGCACAGATATTGTCCACTATGGTTTATTACTGCATAACACTGCTGTGGGTTCTTCTAAATTAGACACCAGACTGACTGTAGCAATGAAAGCATGATAGCAAAAAAGCACTTTGGGTGACATCTCATTGGAAGGTAGGAAGACAGAAGTTTTGGCCCGTGTTCTATGTCTGGAGTTGAAAAGTCTCCAAACTACCCCACATATCTGACAGCATGACATTGTTCAAGTTGTTCAAAGGAGTTTGGAATATACCACAAGTTCTCTAGGGTTATGGACTGTGGATCGTTTTGGTTTGTTTCCTTTTTTCCAGCACAGTATGTGTCAACTACGAGGTGTTAGTTTCTTAATTCCTTTTGCAACAAAAGGAAATCAATCAATAAATAGTAATAATAGTAGGTGCTTAATAAACAGACAAATGAATGAAAGGCATTGGACTCCAAGAAAAAAGACAAAGGTGTATTGATTTCCCTCAAAGGGGTCAGCAAAATGAAACTAAAACCATGCAGCATGAACCAATACAGTTGTGTGTAACTACTTTTATGCAGGTGACAAACCTGGCAAAATAAAAATGTTTGTGAGCTGCAATTTAAAAATTTAAAATAAAAATAGCTTTATTGAGTCCCATAACTTGTGTGTGTGTATTCACAGTTTACATTGCTAACTTTGTTGAACAGAAGAATTCCAATGGAAAAAGACATTCTACTTTTAAATATCGGGGCGTGCTGATAAGTAGCAAGTAGCTTTCTAGCTGTGGGCAGGATTGCAAAGCTTAATGGACTCATGAGACTTGAGAGCTATGGGCTGCTCATCACCAAACCAAGCTCTCCACTCATGAGACTTGAGAGCTATGGGCTGCTCATCACCGGCTGATGGTAAAACAAACCAGGAAGGTAGAGGAACCTAAGAGGCCTGTAGTGCTGGTCAGCCCTGCTGTTATGTTTCACAGTGACTTCATGGGCTATTTTGCCAGAAGGTCTGCTCTCATGTTTGAAAGTCAGGAAGCATCATATCTCCAACTCCTTTAATTACTGGTGAGAATATATCTTTCTTGAATTTTCCATAAGCCATTTTGAGGCTACTTTTACTGTATGTTATAATAGTTTTGTGAAATAAATTAATGTGATGCAAAAAGGTGCATTAGACATGGCAGTCCATAAGAATAACAGTCTCTACAACAAACAAACAAAAAAAGAGTTTCTTGGAAACTTTAAGTAGTATGTAAATAGACAGTAGTATTTTTTAGACAGAATTTTAGTATCAAGCTGCCAGAAATTCAGGTAGAGTTTCTTAAAAGTTCCTATGGGGTTTTTCATCAAGATTAAATGTTTTAAAGTGATTTTTGTTATTGGACAAATCATAATTTCTTATACTTACTCCCTGTTTCAATCATGTCTATAAATATTTTATTAATTGAGTTTTTCATATACATTGATTTCAAAGGCATATATAGCTGGTTTGTTTCAGGATATTGTAAATCACTTTTCTTTTCTAGAGATAATACTTGAGTTTTAGCATTTTACTTACACTACTGATTCTTAAAATGAAAAAAAAAAAAAAGCCTAAAGGTGAAGGAAGAATCGTTGTTAGAGGTTTTTTGTTTCCTTCTAACATTTAAAAGAAATTTAAAAATCGGAACTCAATCTGGAATGAGACATTTTGGTTACCTAGCACCAGAAGACTTTGAAAGAATCTTTGTCCAATGAAAGCAACATGAAGGCTTCCCATAAAGGCCATGTCATAGATAGACATTCGGAGAGATAGTATAACTGGAAGGATCAAAAGGTTGTGGGGGGTTTCGTTAGACTCATAGTAACTGACTGTCTGCCCATAGCCCCTTGGCACTTGCTGCTACAAGCTGAAGGCTAGTTACTGCAGACACCTGTGACCACCTGCCAGCAAAAGGCAAACCGGAATAACCAGGGAGAAACTCACCTTGGAGCAGCCCTCCACCAATAACAGATGGCATGTTGATGGACAAATGCCCCAGCTCCCTCGCCCCTCAGGTGGGATACCTCTGAGGTGTGTCCTACACTGTCTCACAGCGTTCCCGGTAGGATGAAACACCACTTGCTCACAGTGGAAACTGGCTTGATAATACATTTTGTATTGGCTTCCCAACTTTTCCCATTTCCTGTCTCCAATCCTGTGACAGTATTTCCTGAGATCTCCACCCAAATAAACCACATACATTCAAATCCTTGTCTTATGTTCTCCTTCTGTGGGGTGGGGACTCAGACCCAGACACTGATCTTTCATATGAGGGATTTTGTATATCAGGGGTGGTTTCCCCATAATGAAACAGAAAATAAGTCATCTATTTTGAAGAGTGTTTTGGCACAGGTTAAAATAATAAGTGATTTAAAATATCTATAGGTAGATTTAAACCTGATAGACGTAATCGGTCAAGTTGAGGTAGAGGAATATAAATCAACACAATTGATTCATTACGTTGAGTTGGATTCAATCATGAAAATCAGGGATATCTTTGGGACCCGATGTGTGGGACACCAGCTTTTAATTACACAACAACCAAAAAGCATTAGGGCGACACCACTTTCTGCTACTCCATCCACCTGGTGGTGTCTTGATGTTTCTTCTCCTGGTGTCGCCTCATGCACTTCTCCCTAAATTTCTCTCATCAATGAACTCTCCTACATAAGATGAATTTGTTGAAGTCTCTTATACATTCAACATAGACTCGGCTTGTGTGGAATCACACGAAAAGTCAGAATGCCATGCTGAATTCAGCAGCCAAGCAGCCTGCTTGTCTCCCCAGAGAACAGATGGGTGGCATCTTGGTACAAGGAACTGGGACGCATTGGTGGATCACATATTTATAGCAGGCAGGACGGGGGCAGAGATTTCAAGCTTTCAGAAATGCTCTTAAGTATGCACCCAGAATTTGAAACAACTAAATATGATTTTAGCTTAATTTAAATAATCGCCACAACCATTTCTTTTTAATGGATTCAAGAGACTGCTGATTGAAACAGGAGAGTAAGTCATTGCAGTAACATAAAATATAATTCTACGCAGCTATATTCCCAGGGAGTAGCTGCTGGTCTTTGAATGACAAATCTGTTTGTGAGACCAACTGACAGTCTATGAAAGACTGACAAAAAGGGACACATCACCATGAGGTGTAAAATCCATTATGAATGCCAGCGCTGCCTTTAGTGTGGATACCCAGGGATGCAGTTAATACATTTAAAGGATTAGAGGGAGGGAGGGGAGAGCTCTGGGATGGGCAACCTCTGCCCATGCCAGTGCATGATCACTTGAGGGTGTAATTTCACGGACCTGAGTTAGTGTCTCCTGTTCATGAAGCAAGAGCAGCTTTGTTCCAGCCCCTTCCATCCTCTGCTCCAGCATGAGGGAGAAGTGTTCAATGCCTTTGATGGAGAGCTTCTCTTGAAGGGTTAAGATGACATCCTGACAGAGGAAACATGGACATAATGAGATCAAAATGGAGGCTTCCTTCTTGGGGAGTCTACCATGACCAAAAAGTGTTACACATATAGGCTTCAGATCTTCACGTTTTACACCTTTGGTTGATTCTGAAATTTGATGCTCCAAACATCCCAAAAGATACAAAAATCAGGCCTTCTTTCCCTTGCCCTTTTCCTGGCCTCTCCAAACACCCAAAGTCTTTATGGAGATCAGAACAGAGAGTTAACAAGGTAAATAGCTGGAGGAGCTTGCCTATCATGTAAGGTCTTAAAACAGAAAGGTTATCAATGGATTATGTAGTATAGTCAGTTCATTTCTCCTTTCTTCTAAATGGGGTGGCAATTAAACCAGCTCTGAAAGTGATCTACCCCAGGGGTTGGCAAAATATGGCCTGCATGCCAAATCTAGCCCACTGCCTGGTTTTGTAAATAAAATTTTATTGAGACACAGTCATGCCCATCTGTTGTCTGTGGCTGCTTTTGCATGCTGCATCATCAGAATTGGGTAGTTGTGTCTCTGTGGACTACGAAGACTGAGATATTTGCTATATGGCCCTTTACAGAAACAGCTTGCTGACTCCTGGCCTACCCTTCTGAAAGAGCGGTGTGGTAGTGGCAAGGAATGTGGGCTCTGGAAACAGTCTGGTTTCTAATCCCAGCTCTGGTGCTTATTAGCTACGCAGCTTTGAGTAAGTTATTTAATTTCTAATTATCTTAGTTTACCTATCTGTAAACTGAGGGTAATAATAATGCTCGCCCTGGAAGGGATATAAGGATTAAATGAATTCGTACATAGAAAGCATTCATTACAACATGGTTTGGCACGGAGTTAGGGCACCATAACAATATACATGTATTAGCTTTTATTTTATTTCTCCGGAGAAGGTGGAAGAGCAAGCTTTGTCAGCAATGTTTCATAGGATTGAACATTTATAATCAAAAAGGTGTTCCATACACAAATACACACATTTACCGCAATGCAAAACTAATCTCCTCAACCTTTACTTTTTTCATTTATTTTCAAACTACTAAATGATCCCTCTTCAAGACAGTTTGTACTCAAATGCTAAAAATCATGTAGAGCAGTGGTTCTGAACCCAGAAAAATTTTGCCCACAGCAACATTTGGAAATTTCTGGAGATATCTTTGGTTGTCACAATTAGGTTAGGAATATGAGTGGCATCTAGTGAGTAGGGGCCAGGGATGCTGCTAAATATCCCACAATGCACAGGACAGCCCCACAGCAAAGAATTATCTAGTCCAAAATATCAGTAGTGTCAGGGTACAGAAACTCTGCTATACAGAGTTTTCTTTAGTGACTCTTCTAATGTTTTGATCTTTCTCTGTGGCCCTTTTTAAATTTTTCAGGCCCCATTAACACAAAAATCTGCACATCCACCTACCTCCCAAAAAATCATTCAACAGAAATGCCTTGACTATGTTGGATTTCATAAAAAGATTCTCTGCTTTATAATTTTTGTGCAAGGCCCAGGAAAGAGAAAACAAAACCAGCTTTTGTGTGGCAACAAGAACTTTATAAAACATTCTTCGGAACCATCAGGGAGGACACTAGAAAATCGATAGCAATAGTTTTTCCCTATTGTAACTGTAGCAAGAATTCTGGCAATTTTTATTAAACAGTGTCATACTCCTTTCATAACAATACTATTTCTATTTTCCCCCTACCAGGCAATGTTTATTGTGATAATAAGGCTGTTAGGTACAAGGTAAGATAACTCAAATTTGATGTGAACTCTCTGCATGGCTCCCTATCTTCTCATTGCCATCTGCAATCCTAAGGGAAATCAAACTTAGTCTAGTGTGGGTTCCTATAATAAAGAGGCCAGAGGAAATTAACAATAGGGCTTTCTCAAATTTAGATTTACTTCTGTTAAGAAATGCATTCGAGTCTTTACCTGCATCTTCAGGTGAGGTAGGAAGACCAATGGCAAGGAGATGACCAGTTGGTAACACAGAACAAGACCATGGTGTCAGAGAATTATAATTATGTAGCTCCATGGGTTAGTTCAGGGCTCGGCAAACTATGGCTTGTGGGTCAAATCTGGCCATGTCCATTTGTTTACATATTGTCTGTTCAGTAACAGATTAACTCTGCCTAAAGAAAGATTTGGTCCTTTGCTCCCACTCTTGCAAAGTAACCTCTAAGGCCATGAAACGTCTTGCCTGAAAGGAATGTTTCTGTTTACCTGGGTGCCTTGGGCTATACCAGATAGTCTATGCTAACAATGTGATTTATGGTGGGAACCTCAGCCCGTGCAGTATCATCTTGACCTCTAGTGGGGCTGAGTACTAAGATCAGCCATGAGGATGGCCAGCTGTATCTATGTGGCAAACCCCCAATAAAAACTCTGGACACCAAGGCCCAAGTGAGCTTCCCTGGTTGGCAGTACTCCATGCATATTGCCACACATCATTTCTGGGACAATTAAGCACTGTCTACATGAATCTACTGGGGAGGACACCTGGAAGCTTTGTGTCTGATCTCTTCTGTACCCTGCCAATGCACTTTTTTCCCATGGCTGATTTCATTCAATATCCTTTTGCTGTAATAATCTGTAACTATGAGTATAACAAATTGCTGAGTTCTGTGAGTCCTTCAAGTGAATGACAGAATGCAAGGTTGGTCTTAAGGACTTCCCAAACCCACCTGTTCATGGCTGCTTTCCTGATACAATGACAGAGGCGAGCAGTTGCAACAGAGATCAAATGGCCCACAAAGCCTAAGAAACTTAGTATCTGGCCCTTTCCAGAAAAAGGTTGCCTACTCCTGGGTTAGTTGAACAATAATTAGATTAATATCTCACCGTAAATTGATATTCAATAGGAAAAAAAGCACTTTTTTAGTCATCGCCATTTAAAATTAGCAGTCTTGTATGAAGGAATACTTCATCTGGAATGATTCAAGAATGATTTCATGGTTTAACATCAATCTACTAATATTGTCTGCTCTATTACCTACTAAATCACTACATATCTAAAGCAATTCAAAACAAGCTGCTTGCTGGTCTCATGAGAATAAGAATACGCAACAAGCGGGCCTTTGCAGAAATGCTTCCACACATGAGGTCTATGGTGATTAATTAAAAAAAAAAAAAAAAAACAAGGATTAGGGGTTGACTATTGATAGACATTTTTAACAGAGTTGACATTCTCTTGATAGATGATTGTACAGATCATCAGTAGGTACTTTTTTACCTCCGTAAAATTGTTTTTACTGTACCATTTGAAGAAAAACTAATTTAGGCTGATGAAGCATTAGGGAGCAATCATTTCTAAATACACTTTTGCCCAGTAAAAAATGAGAATATGCACTTTTCTTTTCCAGGAAAGAAGCATGGAGAAGAAAACACATATGCTTTGCTATAATTCCTGTTATGTAAAACTCACCTGTGGCTCTGAAATAATAGGATTGCTTTGTGACTCTTCCTTTTTACCCCTTCTCCTAAAGAAGCATGCCTCATCTCTGCTTTTTTTCCCCATCGTTTTCATGAAATTGGTTACAGCAATTAAAAGTAAATGTAATCTTTACATTATTCTACCCCTTGTTTTTGCTGGACACCAAAGTAGCAGATATTCAATTAACAGCTAACAACTTAATCTTCTTGGCGGCTGACATTGCTGAGAAATCATGCTGGCTTTGGGCAGAGTGCCAACCCTTCTTGGTGACAGTCACACAATTTTAATTAATCTGCATTTGTATTGAAATGACTAGCCCTAGTATTTCTTCACTGATAGCACATTATGTATATTGCTGTGCAATACCAAGGGGATAAAAAGAGCAGAACCTTCTTAGTTTAAGCTTCTTGTTTTGGTTTGTTTTTGAGTATACACACACACAACCTTACCTGGAAGCAATCATCAAAATCACAGCAATAAAGGGATAGTTCTGCAAGAAGGTGCTGGCCCACAGTCTTTCACAATATCCCTGGTGATGTCCAGGTACAGAGTTTAGTAGGTCATCTTACCTTTATGGAGGTGCTGCAGTCAAAGCGAAATGACTTGGTCTGCCCATTTTCCAAATAGACTTTCAAAACATTTGGCATAAAAAGAAGTGAATTGTCCTTAACAGTTTCCTGTTTAAAAACAACAAAAAAGGGGGTGGGGGTTAGTCAGTCAAATTAGAATTCTGCTCTTCACAGTACCAGCATACACCAACTCTCTAAGGCCAACCAAGATGTCCCTTTGGTGATGTCTGAGTTAAGTTGTTCATAGAAAAATTTTTTTCCAGATACAAAGAATTCATCTAATTCGAAGAAAAGATATTTGCCCATGAGAAAATCAATTAGATAATTTTTGTTAAACTGAAGATTCCCCATTGGAAAACATGATTATAGAAATAATTCCTCTGTAATTAAGCATCTATGTTTGGCACTAAAGCCCAGACTCAAGCACAGCAGCATGTCTTGAGCCGAATGAAGACCTGTTTTATGTAATGACACTGTTTTATGCGATGTTCTTGGCGCCTGGTGGCAGTCATGATGGTGAGTCATGAGTCTTAACCAGCTTCAAGTGTAAAGCTATTTTGCAACACTATTTTTAACCCATTTAGGAGCAGTCCTCCAACCCAAAAGGAAACTATAAGCAATGGGTTAGTGTGTTAAAAGAGCAAAACATCAAGTCCATAATGAACAGATTGTCATTTAGAAGGAACTCAGAAAGAGATGCTAGCTTGAAACATGGCCAAAAGTGAACAATAGGAGTGGATTCTTTCGAATGTTCTCTTTAATGGGAAGTAGTGAATGGTGAGAGGGGTAAGAGAGGGAAGGACGGTATGTTTGCAGTTCTCTGAGTCCTTCTAGGGAACTGCCTTATTCTCCTGTCGTGGGTTAAAACGTCACAGGCCTGGAGAGGAACCAAGCAATCCTGAAACCACGCATCCCTTGTTTTGCAGATAAGGGAACTGCAGATGAGATGATCAGAGATTTGTCAGCTGCTTACAGTTACCTGGGAGAATTCAGCCCTACACATTCCCACGGCGGGCTCCATGCCTTGCACTGGCTGCCTCTTTCCCTGAATTTCCTCCCTCCCCTTCTACTCCTGTGGACTTCCCACCTCCTGTTGCTGCTCCCCAGTGCGCCGAATAAGTTTGGATCCGAGTCCAGAAGAAATGGCACCATGGCTCAGAAGAGCAAGGGCAGGCTGGAAATGAAGATGGCCACAAAGGCTGAGGAGCCGACATGTGATGGGATGTCCCTGCCCTCTACAGGCTGGTGGCGAGGCAGCGCAGGCTGCAGGAGGCAACGGCCCTCAGAGATGTCCTCACACACCAGCTGCCTTGCATGAGCCCTGCTGTATCCAGGCACTAATTTACACTGCCACAGCAGCTTCTAGAATCGTCTTCTCTCTAAAGATGTATAAACTGCCTGATTGCCCGATCTCATGCTTGGAATATCTGGGCAGAAAAGGTAAGTTTTAGATGACCTTCCATGATATGTTTTCTCTGTGCCTGGAACCTTCTACCCTTCAGCTGAGACAGGCTTGTTGTGAATCAATAATGTACGGTAAGCCCGCATCCAGAGTGATGGGGATGCACTGGGGCGAGCGGAACAGACCACGCTCACAGGGCAATAGAAACAGTGGCAGCCTCAGGCCCTTTCCCAGCAGCATCACATTAGTTCGACAGATTGGCCGCTAACTCCCTGAACTCCAAGTGGGGCAGGCACAGATTTCATCCTTGTAAATTTATTTAAACAACCCCAACAGCAAAAAGAAACCTCAATAACAAAATCTGGCGTTTTAAAGATCCAAAAAATATTAGTGCCCTGGATGACGGCTTTCTAAAAACTAAAAGCAATACATTACATTATTTTTGCAAAAAGTTGAAAATAAAACCTCTCATTGATGTTTACATTATTTATTTTGAAGATCAATTCAATACCTGAGCAATCATGTTTCCATTAAGACCTATGTAAGGAGATCTGGGCAGTATTTCTTCAGTTCTGGTTGCATATACAAAACCTTTCTATTATTTTAACTTCTTTGCCATTTTGATTAGTTGAAAGATTAGACTTTTTTTTGGTTAAGGAAAAACTTAGGGTGCTGTGGATTGAATATCCCCCCAAACTCATTGGGGCTTCATCCTCCCTGTGACAGTGTTAAGGGGGTGGGAAATCCTATTGTGGTAATTGAAAGGTGGGGCCTCGAAGAGGTGATTATATTGTGAGGACCATGCCTAGTGAATGGATTAATAAATTGATGGTTTAATGGTGGTCATGGGCGTGGTTCTGAGAGCTTTAAAAGGAGAGCACATGAGGAGCTCTCTCTGCTTCTGCCATCCGCCATGTGACACCCTGCTTTGCTGTGAAGAGTCACTACCCACCAACAAGGTTCTCACCAAGATGTTTTCTCTGGACTTTGGACTTCCCACCCTCGAAAACTGTAAGTAATAAATATTGTTTCTTTATAAATTACCCAGTTTCAGGTATTTCTGTTATAAGCAACAGAAATGGACCAATACACAGGGAAACACAGTACTTTTCTCAGAATATATAAAGGGTTGTCATATGGAAGAATACTTAGTTGGCAGAATGGGAATACATAGGTGGGAGTTCAAAGAGGCATATTTTACTCAGTATGAATGAGGCAACATCAGTGATCCCAAATCAAATGAACTCCTTTGCTAAGTGCTGAGGTCTCTAACACTGGAAGCATTCCAAGTAATACTGGACTACCATATATTTGGGCCATGGTAGATGGGATTCAGGCACAACCTGAAGATCTCTCAAGCCTTTAACCATCCTGAGATTTGACACCCCTGTGAAAACCAACAATGAATTCCAGGTTGATCATTTGATCTGGGACCACTGGCTTGGCTTGAGCACCAAGCCCCTGCCTCAATGTCTCTCTCCAAGCCACCCCCCATGTGACTATAAACTCACCGACACTTGGCCATTGATGATGACCTCCTCAGAGAAGCGCACTTTGACTGGATTGGACTTTAATCTTGCCTTTTTTGCAGCACTAATAAATGCTGATTTGGGAGACTAGAAGACAAGAAAATATTTGATCTGATTATTGGTAACAATGCAAACCTTTTAACAGTTGTTTTACATCTTTGTCCTTTCAGATATATGCAACAATTTTGCTTAAAAAGTAAAATGTTTGGTGATGCCCATTCAAGGTCAAAATGCAAATTATGGTTGCAATCAAAACCCTGTCATACCTATAAACTAATAAGTTTGAAGAGAGTTCTGGTCAAGATGGTGGAAGAGATGATGGTTCCCAGCATCATTCTCTCGCACAAATCAATCAACCAATTTACGACTATAAAAATGTAACATCAGCCAAGCTGGGGCCTCTGGAGCTCAGGGGAAGAGGAAGCGAGACCCAGGGAGTTCACGAAGGCAGGAGAAACCACGATGAGAGAGAAAAAACTGCTCTGAGCATTTCAGGCCGTGGCTGCTTTAAGGCTAGAGCTGATAAATGCATGGAGCAGGAGCTGGCAGAAGCTGCAGCTGTGCCCTAAGGATGGAGTTGCTTGGAGGCAGCAGGGGAGAAGAGGGCCTTGGCAGCCTCCTGGGATAGCAAGACCACTAATAGGGTTCCCATGGACCCACACAGGAGCGAGGAGCCAGAACAGCTGTATAAAGGGAGCCATTCAGAGGCCGGTGAGTCATCGCAAGGGTCCGGCACAGGTCCCATCCCATGTGAAGTGTTTGGAGCCCACCAGGAGAACACTGGGACATAGCAAGGACAGCTGACCCGCCCTCCCAATCAGCGCAGGACCACTTAGAGGACACTGGTCAGGAATGCAGAATTGCATGGGGTGCAGTTTGTTGAAAAAACTCAGGCCCAGATCAGAATTTGTACACAACCCAGATCCACCGGGTCTCTGGAGAGCCGGAAGTATGTATAAGGTCAACCATTAAACCCTGTGCTGCACAAAAAGCCTTCCCTAGGGAAACAGCAGCAAAGCAGCAGTTTAGCTCAACCACACAGCTCAAGTACTGGTTCCCACAGAAAGTTCCCCTGTTTTAGAAGTAAGCAAAGGACAAAAAAATTAGTTCCGGCCCAGACACACCACCAGGGCCTTGAGGCCAGCCTGGGAACTGGAGGCTTGGAGCCAGGGACCGGACCCCATTCCCACAACCAGGCACACTGCGCCAGTGCATCGGGGCCTGCCCACAGACCTGAGGCATGGAGAAGGGGACTGGATCCCCCTCCCACAACCAGGCACACCATGCCAGAGCCTCAGGGCCCACCTGGGGACCCGAGGCATGGAGAAAGGAACCAGACCTCCCCTCTCACAACCAGGCACATGATACCAGCACCTCAGGGCCTGCCTGGGGATCCAGGGCATGGAGAAGGGGACCAGACCCCCTGCCACAACCAGGCACGTCATGCCAGCAGCTCAGAGCCTGCCTGGGGACCCATGGCATGGAGAAGGGGACTGGACCTCCTGCTACAACCAGGCACGTCATGCCAGCAGCTCAGAGCCTGCCTGGGGACCCACGGCATGGAGAAGGGGACTGGACCTCCTGCCACAACCAGGCACACCATGCCAGCAGCTCAGGGCCTGCCTGGGGACCCAAGGCATGGAGAAGGGGACTGGACCCCCTCCCACAACCAGGCACACTGTGCCAGTGCCTTGGGGCCCACCCAAGGAACAGAAGCATGGAGAAGGGGACTGAAACCCTGCCACAACCAGGCACACTGCACCAGCACCTCGGGGCCCACCCAGGGACCTGAGGCATGGAGAAGGGGACTGGACCCCCTCCCACAACCAGGCATACCACACCAGCACCTCAGGGCCTGCCTGGGGACCTGAGGCATGGATCTGGGGACCAGGCACACCCCACAACCAGGCACACTGCCAGCACCAAGGAGCATGCCAAAAACATCACCTCCATGTGGGTGGCCCACCACAGCCACCACAATAACCATGGCTGCCACAAAAGTCGCTAGACATCACAGCCACCACGCAGGTGGTTCACCAACCACTGGAGTGCAATCACACAAGGAGAGTCACCAGCAGAGATAAAGAAAAGAAGAGGATGTCTCTCTCCACAAAGCCCATTCCAGAGTGACAGAAGCATCTTCTCTATGATAATATTGGGGGACCTGAACACACCTCTCAGCATTGGACAGATCATTTAGGCAACAAATCAACAGAGTAACCATTACTCTTTCAGAGGGAGAGAAGAAATCTAGGGTTATCAGTGGTGGGAGGTCAGAGGGAGAGGGGGATAGGGAGAGATTGGACAAGGGGCATAAAGAATAATTATGATTTGTAAGAAAATATATGCTAGTAATATTGATTTGATCAACATATCTCAATGTTGAACCCCCAAAATAAGTATAATCAATTTTGATCCAATAAATAAATTAAGATAATAATAATAAAAAACTAATAAGTTTGATTTAGTTACCAGACCAGAACTACGAACATATTACTATGTTCTTACTGGGCACATTTCCAGGGATATTTTAAAATGATGGCTATGAAAGTACACAAACCTTGTTTTTAATACAGAGCTTCAAACACAATGTGGAAGGTGAGGGGGTGGTCAAATGTAATGTTGGATTTATGATGAATTGATTGTTAATTATCTATTTTAATGAGGTGGAGAAGAGCCACTCATAGTTCTAAAATGACTGATAATCCAATTGTTGTTCACATTAAGGGTTTATGAGCACGCGAGCGGCAAATACACACACATACACACATACATATGTGCACATGTACTCTCTTAAGCACTCATGTTTTATGTACCTGCAACCTGAGTTTCAGCCTCTTGTTGGTCACCTGTAATCCTGTGGTCTTACTGGGCAGGGTGGAGAGGACACCTTGATTTACAATTAAAAGTTGACTTCATATGCTGGCTAATCTTATAGTTTCCTTGTTCTTCATGATCCTTTCCTTTTTATTGGAAAGGGGCTGATTGATACAGTTGTCCCTCAGAAATTGGAAGAGAAGTGGGAGAACCTGCTTAGAAGGGTGATGCAGAGGATCCCTTGCTGCATGATCGTGGTAAAGTCACTTTATCTGGGAATCGTCCTTGTTGCATCATTTTAATGAAGCCTAAGGGGGAGGGAACTCACATCTCATAGGTGTCCACTGTCACAGGCACCATTTGTTTATTTTAAAAAAGAACTGAATTCTCTATTAAACCTAATATAAACGTAAATATTTAGTTTGACTCATACAACTGCAATTTTACAGACAAACATGGTCAAATATTGGGAATTGCCTATGGTTCAAACTAATGTTTTATATGCTATCTAGTCTGAAGACATTGAGGTTGTTGTGTAAAGAATTCTGCTAATTGCTTCTATAATCAACACAGAGGCTTAACCTTCTGTGTATTATATTAATCTCAAGGCACAAAAGCCATTTAGAATGATCCATACTTTGGATTTCAAGTAAAATGAAACAAAACAAAATGGATTCCCATCCTTGTCAAATGCAAGCAGACTTGAGATCAATTAAATTGAAAAACAACATGATGAATAAAATGCATATACATACAATGGAATATCATTCAACCATGAAAAGGAATGAAGTGCTGATACATGCTGCAACGTGGATGAACCTCGAAAACATTGTGCTGAGTGAAAGAAGCCAGATGCAAAAGGCCACATATTGTATGATTCCATTTATAGAAAATGTCCAGAATAGGCAAATCCATAAAGACAGATTAGTAGTTGTCAGGGGTTGGGGAGGGAAGAATGGGAGAAGAGAGGGTGACTGCTTAATGAGTGTGGGGTTTCCTTTTGTGGGGAAAAACGTTCTGGAACTAGAAAGTGACAATGTTTGCACATTGCCAGTGTACTTAACGCCATTGAATTGTACACCTTAAAATAGCTAAAATGGTAAATTTTATGTTATGTGTATTTTGTTATAATAAAAAAAATCACTGTTGAAAAAAATATGATAAAAAGTGTGTGTGTATGTATTCCCGTACAAATTTTTTCCTTAATATTGGGAGAATCCTGTTATTTCTAAATTTCCTGTCCACACCCATCCCATCCTTTGCTATGAGCAGTTTCTTTTAGTACTGGATGGACAGATAATTCGTCCTCCAGAGTTTCAATTCATTCATTTATATGAGATGTTTTAAGAGAATGGCTGGCCTCTTAAAAAACAACACCAAAAAACCAAAAGAACTGTGAACAGCTGCTCCTCAAAAAAGAACATCTTTAAACAGGCTCCACATGAGCTTTAAACGTCCCAGCGCAGGGCTGAGTGATGTGACAGTGGTGTTCTCGTCAGTATCTTTGTAGTCACAGGCTGAGTTTAGTAATGATTAACAAGCAAATCATACAGTGGTGAACTGGTTTGCTTTTGATATGCCATTTTTTAGCTGAAGGGAAAACATTCTCCCTTAATGATTTTAAGCAGGCGGTATTTACATTGGCAGACTGAGTTTAGCACATGTGAAGCGGCTGTAATAAAGCTACCCAGAACAGACACTACTAATTAGATGGGATATTTCAATGCAGTAACACCCCACTTCCCCAGCATTGTTTAGGAATGAAATATTTCATATGTGTTCAATGTGTCAGATACTGAGGTTTTTCCTTCTATGTATACTGATTTTTAAAATTCATATTTTACCATATTTTTCTAAAATATTTTCTGCATAATTCCTTGCCTCAATAAAAAAGTATATTTAACAGACCTTAGTCTTTGATGCATAGAATTTGATATAATTATGGAATGCAGTGATATTCCCAGGGGTCATGGAAGTACATAGCATTATTTGCCCCTAAAGTAAATGGCCTCATATAGCACAACTTGCCAAACTGGGATGTTTGTCTTCTGTCTGTAGCTACAGCATACTTACCTTGCATAGCTTCATTCCCATATTTATTTACCATGCCCTAATGACAAACCTGGTAATCTGGTAAGACCAGAGAGAAAACTGGATAGCCAAGGTTGTTAAGTAAATATCTTATGTAATTTGAAGTTAACAGACTTGGGATAAAAGACTAACTAAGAATCCACAGCAAATACATTTTTCTTGTTCTGGATTCGTGACTG